TAAATGTTGATTCAATGGCAGTGGAGTAGCTCTCGGTTTTGAATATTCATGAGCAAGGAGATGTCCAAACCCCCTGAGATTATTAAAATTTAACCAGCTACAGTATATTTTCTCCCTCCACTTAACATAAAATTAAGTGTTATCTTATTATCCATATGGCTTCCTGGGAGTGCATAATTTCAGCAGCATTGATTGGATGCAAGGAAACTCTGGATTGGTTTCAACTTGCATTGTCTCACTGAAAAAAAAGATATACCTGGAATTGCTTTTGTTAATGGCATGGTCAACATGAAACTAGTTCATCACAATTGGCCCACATTATTCCCTTGTGTGCAGCTCCAGCGATTAATGGGTTCTTGCTAACAGCCATTGACTCCTGGACGAGTGCTGCTTCTTCCCAATTAATGAAGGCAAGACATCAACCGTCTGTTAGATCGTGTTGTATTCAAGTGATTCCAGAACTTATTACTTGAGAGTCATCTTTATTCTCTGAAGAGGCGTAGTAGTAATAATAATAATATGCTGACTCTGAGAATAATAAATAGATGTTTGTCTTGTGACTCGACTGCGCAAGCACAGTTGGAACATAATTTCGGAAATGTATTCCATTTTGTGGGAAGTGAATGGCGGTTGTCCTGTGCGAATGTGGAATTCCCATCGCTGACTCAAGGCCACCAAAACAACGGGCAACTGGTCATGTTCTCGTGAACAGGGAGACGCTTTTTTTTTACTTGAAAAAAATACTAATTGATTAAATATACATTTTTTTTTTAAACCATGGAACGGAAAGATAATTACTCGAAAAAGTGAATATTGGTTCTGCTCGGTATTAAGAAGGCAAAGGTCTCGACTATGGCCTTCAACAAACTGTTGGGGCCAGTGCTGTTCGCGAGCACCAAATGAAGCCTGGTACGGCACACGAGGGTGTGGGTTGCTAACACCACGCCTGTTTGCACACCGCCCCAGGTACCGATTTAATGATGAGTCGGCCGAGGGTAGACCCAGAACCAACTGTGAGGTAATCGTCACCGATGTTGGCTTGTGGGCGGGAATCGAACTCTGCGCACTGGGTCGTAGTGCGGTGCCCTGGGCGCACTGCATCACCGTTCCCTATGCACGCCCACGTGGTACTGGAAGTCAGTGAGGCAGGACTTCAGATTGAGGCAAAATGAGCCGCTTTGCGCAGGTCACACAGGAGCAGCACGACGGGTAATCCAAAACACCGCTGCCAAAGTGCGCAAAAAGGTGGCCTTATTAGCTACGAGCCGGTGTCATCTGGCAGGATCTGAGCTCGCGCACGTCGGTGATCTCGGAGTTGCGGCCGCTGTCTTATCAGCGCACACTCGCAGACTGCGGAGAGCAGCGGAGGACACCTTCAGGAAAGTCACTTGCAGCCTCTCTGCTGGTGGTGATGCCAATTAGTTCGTTCCATTCACATTTCGGCTTTTTCACCCGTTCTCTTTATTTTAACGTGGTGGGAAAACAAAACTAAAAATAAAACGTTCATCGATATCACTGCCTTGAAAGGTCAATGATATAGTACGTAACTTTTCTGACACTGGACCTTTTTCACAGCACATGAATATTTACATTTTATGGAGATAACTCGCAAATCTCATAAGATATTCTCTGATGGCTTGGATAGCTTTAAAGAATTATATTAGTTTAATTTGAAACTATATCCGGACGGTGTTAACTTCCTCTAGAATGAGAAATGAGATGTCACTCAGCGATGGTGCGGATACCATTAAAAGTTTGGCACAATAATTTCTGACTAGATCTTCACGCTGATAATGATCAGGAAAATAAATTGCTCCTCCCGAATGCATCATTATTCACCAGTCACACTCGGACTTTATTATATCAGTTGGTGAGGCCCATTCAGCCAAGCAGCCCTGATACGCTGACGGCCGCATCCCCATACCGTCGGCTGTTACAGGGCATCACAGTTTACGTAGATTTACATAGAGATCCATAGATTTACACAGAGACTCATATAGTTACATCGAGACACACAGAGTTACATAGAGATCCACAGAGACTCATAGAGTTACATAGAGATTCCACAGACACTCATAGAATTACGTAGAGACTCATAGAGTTACATAGAGATTCCACAGAGACTCAGAGTTACATAGAGACTCATAGAGTTACATAGAGATCCACAGAGACTCATAGAATTTCAGAGACTCATAGAGTTACATAGAGATTCCACAGACACTCATAGAATTACGTAGAGACTCATAGAGTTGCATAGAGATTCCACAGACACTCATAGAATTACGTAGAGACCCATAGAGTTACATAGAGATCCACAAAGACTCATAGAATTACATAGAGACTCATAGAGTTACATAGAGATCCACAGAGACTCATAGAATTGCAGAGACTCATAGAGTTACATAGAGATCCACAGAGACTCATAGAATTTCAGAGACTCATAGAGTTACATAGAGATTCCACAGACACTCATAGAATTACGTAGAGACTCATAGAGTTGCATAGAGATTCCACAGACACTCATAGAATTACGTAGAGACTCATAGAGTTACATAGAGATTCCACAGACACTCATAGAATTACGTAGAGACTCATAGAGTTACATAGAGATCCACAAAGACTCATAGAATTACATAGAGACTCATAGAGTTACATAGAGATCCACAGAGACTCATACAATTACGTAGAGACTGATAGAGTTACATAGAGACTCATAGACCACAGCCCAAGACCGTCGACAGTGGTGGCAGTTCCATGGCATTGCTGGGTGGGAATATGCAAACCGACGAGAGCAAACACTATAATTATAATGTAATGAACTACACGAAACTCACCCCAGAACTTGCTGCACAAAGAATAAACAATAAATAGTGCTTTTAGACGAATCAAGAACAGTTTAAAAAAAAATTGTCACAGACTTATGTAAACGAACCGTTTGTACAGCCTCAGATATTATGGAGCTTAAGGCATTAAAGCATTCATGATGATGGTTATTGCAAACATGATCCCTTGTATAAAGGTGTCAGTTTTTGTGCCAGATAAAAGGGTAAAAACCTATTACTATATCTTGTTACTGGCAAAGGAGGTCTCATAATGTAAGTGCTTACCCCGAGCTCTCAATACTCTGATGGTGCGCTGTTTTTGAGTTGTACGCCTTTTGGCGTCTTCTGGTCCAACACCAGTGGAGACTAGGCTCTAAGAAAAGCCGTCTCGGGTGTGGACCAATCAAATTCAAGGACAGTGCATATTATCAGAGTTGTCATTTTTGTTTGCATTTTGACTACTTGTGTTGTGGTTATTGCAAGCATGATCCCTTGTATAAAGGTGTCAGTTTTTGTGCCAGATAAAAGGGTAAAAACCGATTACTATATCTTGTTACTGGCAAAGGAGGTCTCATAACATTCATGATGACTTTAAAGGAAAACACTGGATGTAGTCAACTGTTATCATAACTCATATTGCCATTCAGAAGACCACGATCTGCGTTGTTTACGAGCTCTATTGGAAATCGGAAAGTGTGGTTCGGATTGGTATAGACATCTCTGGGTGTTTTTTTTTTGCGCATCTGTCAGAAAGCTGTCTTGTACACTCCGTTGATTATCTAGGCCTTTTGGATAGCGTTTTGGGGAATGTCAGAAGGCCTCTGGAAGGCCAAAAACACGTTTTCAGCGGAAAAGGTTGATGGCAAGTGTACTTCGAAGATGCGCTTTGCAAATGTATCTCTCAGCCCAGGTTTGAGAAAGGAGCTGTGAAGGTTAAAGATTTACTGAAGCGAGCTTACGGCAAAGTATGGAATGAAGATATGGGATATGAAACGCAGGGCAGTCGTGACTTCCACGCAGCATCGATGTGCAGCAATGACGATCTCGCCACCTGTTAAAGGGCGATGTTTGAGGTGTCACACCACGTATTGTACATTAAAATAAATGCCTTGCTACCTCGGCGCTAAATGCAGGCGGACGGAATGCGGGAACGATGCCAAGTAGGGCGTGCGTACAAATAGGAAAAGTTAATTTAGTATTGATTAAGCATTGATTTGCGCTCTCTGCGTATGTAAAATGCAGAGGAGAGACCAAATACATTTAGAATGAGGCGGCTTTTGTGGCTCGTGGGGTCTTAATGGAATTCCTTGAGGTCAGATTGCCGAGTCGGTGCCGCCAAATATGTCAAGTTTTGCACCCTGGTGTCCCCTTTCTGGTGTCGTCATCGTCGTTATCATCTCGGTCCGTGGGCAGATAGCCCCTTGGGGTCCACTGCAACGTTTCGTCAGCATTGCACATCTTTGCGGCACCAACATCGCATGACGTCGTCAAACCCATTCTCAGTTTAGGTCTTTCCTCTCCTTGGTGGTTCCTTCCATATTTTTCCCCGAGCAACACACTTTTTTTCATTTTTCCTGTCGCTGTCCATCCTACGTACGTGTCCAAATGGTGCCAGTTACCTTCTCATCACTGCCCGTCTCATCAGGTCTTCTTCGATGTGCGACCTGTTTTTCACTTGTACTTTTACGCTGTGCAAGCAGGCCACGCCAGGCCCACGCCAAGCCCATGCCAAAGACTACCTGGCGCGGCTCGGCAGTCGCAGGGCTGTTTTTGAGAGTCGTGTCGCCAACGTCGCACGCACACGGTGAATGAGTCGATTGCTTGCGGTGCGTGCGTGTGTGTGTGTGTGTGTGTGGCGTGATATGGGGAGCGGTAGTGGAGCAGGTTAACGCACTGCGCTACGAACCCGGCGACCCGAGTTTGATTCCTGCTCACGGCAACCACAAGTGACGATTGTCAGGTGGACTTATTCTTAAACGAGTACCTGGTGCGGTGTATGAACGTCGTCACTCGGGAGACGAAGGCGGCTAGGCATGGTGTCAGGCACCCAACCCCCTCGTGTGCTGTGACGACCCTTCACAGATGCTCGCTGACAGCACTTGCCCCAAAAGTCTGTTAATGCTCGACAGGAGATGTTTATCTTTGTGGTGTGATGTGTCTGTGTTTCCCCGCTCGCAGATAGTGTATCCAAAGCTTTAAACTCGTACACACCTGAGGCTTACCCGTCTTTCGGTAAGTCCAAGGGTCTGTGTTGTTGCACCCTTGCGCATACTGCACCAGCGCTGCCTACACTCATCAAACTGTGCAATTCCTCAGGTGTTACTCGATACGGTAGAGCATTGAAATCGTGGTGAAATATTGATGTCGGGTATTATTATCCGGCAGGCTCGTGTTGCAGGTAATTGAGTTTCCCTAATCTGTTTGTTAATATGTAATGACCTATTTTGTAGATGCTGATTCTTTAGTTGATGAGATCTGATTAACAACCTTGACCTGGATTACCCTGCCCTGCGAAAAGGCCTTTGCTTGCAGAATTCCCGACTTGTTGCTATCTGTTCTCTTACACCAGCGGTGGGGAACCTTTTTTCTGCCAAGGGCCATTTGGACATTAATAGCATCATTCGCGGGCCATACAAAAGTATCAACTTAAAGATTAGCCTGTTATATTTGGTCAAAGATTTAATTGACTCACCCCTAATGTGATGGCTGGAACTGCCAAGTGATTTCGCGAGCCTTATACGGCCCGCGGGCTGGACGTTCCCCACCCCTGTAAATTTACACTGAGTATGAAAAACAAGCCAGGCATGACCCGTTCGATAGTGCGTGATCCTCCACTTTCCAACTTTTGCCTGGATGCATATAATCCCATTCTTAGAAGGCGAATCAAAATAAACAACAAACTTGGTGCTTTACATAAACATTGTTCGGTGCACATTTATTATCCAAATTCAATGCTTGTTGTCTTGGTATCAATATTTACTCGCCCAGCAAGTTTCATTTTTTCTTAGACTTCGCTTTGTATTTTGCTCACGAAGTCCAGGAATCAGATGGATATATACCACCGGATGTTTTTCCCTTGCCTCTTCAGATAAGGAGCTCAATTGTTGGTACTATTTTGGCATTCGGATGTCAAATGGACCACTGTATTTTCACGTTCAAACGTTTGTTGATTGGTGCTCGTGTTCATTTGGTTGTCCTGAGCCAGAGGTGGAAATTCCAAGACTTCTATGGCGGAAATCAATCTCTCGCTTAGAACCACAACTGTCAACTTTGCACAATGATGGTGGGTTATGAAGCTGGGATGGAGTCAACCCTGGCCGCTAATTGTAGTCACGGTTCACAAAATTGCCTAACTCTACCGACCGAGCTGTATCATGGCCATGCATGTGAAGCAGGACCAATTAAAAAATTAACCTAAATATATGAAGAAATCAAGGGGGTTTTGCATAACTTTCTCATGGATGAAATAACATGCTTAAAGGAGTTTAGGATCCGTACGGGATTGTTTTGCAAGTCTTGACTTAAAGCTTTCATGACCGCAGGAATTCATATTCTTTGGATCTTTCGGTAAAGTCACGTAGATAGGTTCAAATAAAATAACAAAAAACTACGACGTTTCGATCACAACACAAGCGGTCGTCATCCTAGCCACCGTGATGATGATGAGAGAGAGAGACACGCAAACTCCAAATATACAGCAGCAGGTGTCAGGGTCGGGATCGAACCCACGACCTCCTGCATACCAGGCGAAGGAGTTAACATATCGCCACCACGGCGCCTATGCAACACCAGCCTGTTAAAGCACGTCTAATTGGTTTCAAGCTGGGTGCATATTAACTTGTCGCGAGGGCCATTGCTCACAGACAAATGTGCAGGCTCTGGTGTGAGGGACGGGGGTTGGGGAATGGGAGAGAGAGAGATGGAGGGAGCCCTTCCCCTCTTCACCACACGCCAAAGCCACACGCGCACAAGAGATTGACGGGTGACAGACGGCAGCAAATTTCACCGGGCAGAAATCATATTATTGAGGCTTTTTTATCAAAGCGGACAATAGGCCAGAAAGGTCCCTAAATTGTGCGCCCTTGCTACGATACGCTGAGCGGTGTCGTTGACACTTGGACCGGAGTGTATTCGGCGTGCATGAATGTACGTGTAGCGCATTTATCGGAGATAATATTCGACGTGTACGCGCGCGCTTTTTGTTGTGTGCGGTGGACCATATCATAAATCGTTGAAAAAAAGCTCCGGGCATATATTAACCTTTGTGAGTCGTAAAGAAATATGTTTGAACAATCATGCTGTTGCCCGACAATAATATCGGATTGCGATTCGGTAATACAATTGTCCAGAGATGCACACTTGCTTGCACCATTATTTCATAATTTAACCTACCAGTTGCCCTTCAGGATATATTGATACATATGCAATCTTCCATTAAAGCATTTATTTGTTTGGCACTTTCCTTTAAATTTCTGTCTTGAATATTTTTTTGTAATATATATAATATTCTCCCCCTAGAAAAAAACAAATCTCTTTATAGTTACCATTGTTAAATATAATAATCTTTAGGTGATCATTATTAAATTACTTTCTAAAATATAATTATCCACATCAGGTTACACAGAGCATTATAATATGTACAATCACATACACACACACACGTATTCCTCGTATACATTTGGACAGATAAAATCTCTCTATCTGCTTTGATACACTGCAAACCAACTGCTTTGTGCAAACAGTGACTCATTTGCAATGTTGTGTTCATGATGTCACATGCTACTTTGCCACTTAATTTTCCTACTTGAGAAAGCAATTTATTTGAGCAAATTTCGTTTCGTATACAGTTTAGTTCAGCAAATAAAGAAACGGGCATTCATGTTTCACAGCAATGTTTTGAAATGACAAACATTATTAAAAAAAACAACTCATTAAACTTACAGAATCCATGCACTGTTCAACGGAGAGGTTGCAATGTTTTTAAAACATGGAATTAAACATGAACGTCATTCGTTTTTACGTTGTTATATTTTTTATTTTCATCCATTCTTAATCTATCGCACGCAACGTAAATTCGCAACGGGCGACTTACAATGGTTCGAACGAACCCGTTAAGGTTGGAGAGTACTGGCACATGCATGGCCTCATTAAAGTGCGTTCACAGTGTACATTTTGCGTGAAAGTGATCACTTTGGGCCTAAGTTTCTATAGCAGTAGCAGCAGCAGCAGGAGGTTGATTTTTTTTGTTCAAATGGCAACATGACCAAGCGTTGCATTAACGGTGCCATAAGCAGTTGCGTTGAGGTGAAGGGCAGGTGGTGGTGTAATGAGATTTCCACGAAAGCTTCCAACTGTTTCCCCCCACCACCTCCTCCCCACCACCACCACCAACCACCTCTCAGTCACAAAGCAATGTGAGGCTCACTAATTGGACCGACTGTCTCAGCTTGTCAACGTGTCGACAGCATGCCTTGTTAATTATGCTCCGTCCAATGTTACACTTCCAATTAAGTTTAAAAACAATATCACACACACACACACACCAATGTTGTTTTTAATTATATATACTGATAATTACAAAATAAACTTACCAATAAAAACACATTCCTACGGAGGGAGCTGGTAGGAACGTTGGGTTGCTCGGTCAATGGCCAGGGTCAACGGCGGAGTGATGTATTCCGTAAATATGCCCGACTGTGAGGACGGGCACAAGCCGGCGTGAGTAGGTTAAACGTTGAGTTTTATAAGGGCACCACGGGGTGACCAGCCCTTCCCCACCCAGCCCCACCCCTCCCACCCCCTACCCAGCCCCACCCTCCCCACCCAGCCCCACCCAGCCCCACCCAGCCCCTCCCCACCCTCCCCTCTCCACCCAGTCCCACCCCTCCCATTTGTTGGATGCACGACGGACGGACGGACACAATCATCCCCTGTGGGCTGGTGTAGCCAGGAGGTTCCTACCAGTATAACACTTAACTTTTGCAAACGCTGTTGATGTGGCACCAGGTGCAGTGCCATTGAATAGCACCAGGGCACAGACAAGAGAGTGCTTTTATTCGGCGCATCTTTCAGGTTGGTTGCTGAGCCACATACGGACGTAGCTCCATAACACTTTTTTTTTGGGGGGTTAGATCGCGTAAATGTAAATGTGTCGCTAAACCCGCCACCACCCGACGCAGCCAATTAGCGAGGTTTGTCATGTTAACAGAACATGCCAATTCGTTACGAGCACAGCAACACCGGTGTATTGGAGAGTGAATCCACAAAATGTACAAGCTTGAGTACGACGTTTTCGCCGGGTCGAAGCTCGCACGTTGTTTTTGTAAATGTTCATCTGGAATTCACGCTATATAATACTGCATAGCAGGTGTCGAGGTGTGTGTGTGTGTGTTATGACGTTCCGTAAGAAGCACTTTAAACCTCTGCGTCCATTCTTGTAACGCAGAGTGCCAAGCGGAGGGATATTTGTTGCACAATTCTTTTCCGTGCGGGGGTGCCCACCAGCAAGCGGAGTCCAAGCCAAGGCCCTCGGGTCAGTGGATTTTCCTTTCTGCTCCTCACCTCACCGTGAATGATTGAATGCGATTTTGCTCCGCGAGATCTCTTGCACACATTTAGCCAGACACACCCCCCCCGCCCCCCGCCCCGCACATGAGCACGGTTGGCTACGTACGGTGCGAAAAAACGTTCGACATACATAGTTGCACGTATGTTACATGTATGTATGTTGGGCACCACGGTGGCGAGATGTTAACTACCTCGCCTGATATGTAGGAGGTCTTGGGTTTGATCTCGACCGTTGCAACGGCTGTATATTTGGAGTGCGCGTGTTCTCCCCGTGGTCGCGTGGATTTTTCTCGGGGTCCTCCGTTTTTTTTTCCCTTCACAGTTAGAATCAACGTGCGTTCATGGCGTTTGGCCACTGTAAATGTCCACACTAATGATCAGCTCACTTTTGTTGAGCGATCCTTTGTAGCCTGGTCACTTCTGCAAAAAGAGGCGTATAGCTCAGTGCGGGCCTTACCTTGTGAAATGAAAAATTTTTTACGTGATTTTTAGTTTTACAGACGGCGACAGATGACGTTGCCCTGCTCGTGGCTTCACAAGCCAGTTGGCACCGTGGCACAGGCACGAGCAGCACGGGTGAACTAGGCGTTTGCGCGGCCTTCGAGTGCACGGCGTGCGATTAAATCAGGGCGTAATGTCGGGCCCAACGTTGAGCCAACTGCCGACGTGTTTGGCCCAACGTCGCAGCGTTCACCGAGGCGTTGCACTTGCGTTTGGCACGTTGTTTCACACCGGAGGTGTGACTTGCTTCTCAGACGAGATCCGAGGCAACGCGTGTGAAGGGCATCCGTGACCAACTGTGCATTCTCGCGTGCAGCGGAACCTTGGATTGCGAGTAGCTTGGTCTGCGAGTGTTTTGCAAGACGAGCAAACAAAATGTCAAATAAATGTTAATTTGATAAACGAGCGAGGGTCTTGCAATGCGAGTAGTGTACGTGTACACGCTTTGTCTGCCGAGCGTCACGTGATCAGAACTGATATACTACGAGTGCTTTGATATACGAGTGCTTTGGATTACAAACACGTTTCCGGAACGAATTATGCCCGCAATCCAAGGTTTTACTGTATCTCTCCACGGCTGCTGTCGTTCGTTCTTACAAGTGCAGGCATTTCGTGAAGAGGGTCCAGTTTGGCCGAAATGCTGAGACCTTCCTCTCCACCCGGACAGAATTGCTATAATCTTGGAATTAAGCCATCCATTTGATGCGCACGTTCGGTCCTACCATAGATGCTGGAGCTTCACGTGTGAATTGTGGCTGCATTTTTTTGTTTTTATGAACGGTTCAGTGAGACCTGAAAGCAAGCACAATTTGTGGATACATTTACTTAAAAATTGGTGTGTTTCAAATGGTATCTTATTCACGTGCTGATAGGTCAATTAATTCATTGTTAATATGCACACATGGACAACTGAACATTGAGATGTAAATCCCCAGCAAGATTAGCTTTGTAGGCTGTTGAGGCAAGTTCTATGGATTTCAAAAAAAATAATAGCAAAGCCGTCAATAGCACCGTGTGTGACCTTAAAATGAAAAATATATAATCGGCGATAATTCAGGCAATAGCTCTTGCTAATAGCACATAATAGATGGATAAGAATGATTGTTAGCAATCATCGCTGCCATGTGCTTTTGATGCACCTCCACTTCAGCAATGCATAAAAAAAAACAATGGCTTTATATAACTAACCATTCAGACTAAATGCCCCGTTGATCAGACATCGGGTCGTGCGTAATAACCTTCAACTAATGCATTCTGGGCACAGGTTAAACACAATTTTGTCTCAAACCGTAATAAGCAGGTTTGAGCGGCTGCGTCGCGCTTGTCAGTTCCGGGTTTCTCTTGACATTCTCTTTCCACACACTCTGGGAATGCAAGTTTACGAGTAAATGTGGGCAGAAAATTGGACGCATATTTAAAATTTGTTCTGTGCCGACAAACTCTTTTTCAGACATCTGTTTCCCAGCAGAAATTGTGTGGCTGGGTGGCAAATTGCTTCAGGCACACACACGACTCGCAATCGGAAGGTTGCGAGTTCACATTCACCGTCGAGGGTTAACGGAGTTTGTCATTCCATTGGGGGTTTATACAATAGGTACCAACTGTGGTGGCAAGTCAGTATTGGTCATCCTATAGATTGAGTGTTGCCGATTGAGATGAGCAGGGAGGCACCCTCTGATGAGGTCCGTTCACTCTGGAGCAGACTTTTGTTTCCAAAAATAATATTCTCCATCCATCACGAGATGAAGGTGTCCCAAGCACCATGTCGGTCATGGGGTTTGTTGACCATACTTCAGCGCACTGGTCTCAGAAGGTTGGATGACCGGGGGATATTTGTTGCCCGTATTCTAAATAAAGATTTGCAAACACACACAGCGCATCCGAAGTGGGGAGCGGTGGTGTAGTGGTTAGCGTACGATGCTATGAACCCGCCGACCCGAGTTCGATTACCGCTCACGGCCAACACCAGTGACGAATATCTGAACCGGTCCTGGGCTTCCCCGAGGTCTACTCAGCCTCAAATGAGAACCTGGTGCGATGTATAAACATCGCCACTGGGGAGACAAAGGCAGTCGCGCGTGGTGCTGGCCACCCACTCCCTCCGTGTGCCGTGCCGACCTTCATAGGTGCTCGCTAACAGCACTTGGCCCAACAGCCTGCTCTGGCTATAGGGGGGATCTTTGTCTTTGCAGAGTATGTGTCGAATATTTGCGTGAATTTTGCGCATCTTAATTAATAGCCAAGTCATATTCGGCAAATTCAGATTATGTCTTGCATTGTCCTGCATAATATCTAAAGTTAGATTATCCCCACGATCAAAGATTTATGCACCCTGGTATTACGTTACTCTCATGGTGCTTGCGGCAGGCCGTTGGTACCATCTGCTCCGATTTTGCGTCGATGTGCGGTGCGGCACTACATTTCTGTTTGCCCGGTGATTTGGCGATTGCTGCCAGCGCTAAACCTCGCCAGCAACATGCTCGCGTACAAGCTTGGAGGGCGAGATGAGTCTTCCATTCTGGTACACTCCATGAGCAGCTGTCACTTGTTTCAGTTGGATTTTACTTCCCACCACCCCACACACACACCCTCCACACCCTCCACACCCCCACCCCCCCCCCCCCCCATATTATCTGGCCAGCAATTTTTGGGCTGTTCCCTACTTACGATAAACACAATTTTTTTATGGTGATACGGCTGCAATGGTTGCGGTGCACGTGCCAAAAAAAAACAAAACTCAACGCATTTGTCAACATCGCTGCGGTCTTAAACAGGAAAAGTTCATGACGGGCGACGTTTCGGGCGATGGCCCTTCTTTATAGCGTACATAGAGAGGCCGCAGAGGGAGAGTGGAATGCCACCTACGATAGCTTCTTTTTACCATTTGGACACAATTTAAGATCTGTTTTAGATCAAATCCTCCGGCTAATTGTGCAACCTGTCGTCGTGCCAACAAGAGCCACATCATCCCATGCGCCACGTTGCCCGGCTTTAAGAACCGGTGCCACATTAGGGATGTCACTTCTGCATTTAGGATGAAACTGAAACGATAGGAACAACAATAAATTTGGATCCTATTACATTTCGTATATATCTGGCCCGATATTGGATTTTTTCACGTAAATTTGAAATTCAGGAGCTTATCCACAATGCATTTATAGATATATTCACAGTAACCAGTGTGTGTGTCTTTGCTGAATTTCTATTGGAGTTAAGTATCGCACATCAAAAACCATACAAGAATATCATGAGATCCGGTATTTGTGTAAACCTTTAAATACAAACGGCCATCAGCTTAGATTACAAGAACAAAAGTAAAAAAAAAATGGAGCTCTAAAATTTGTCTAGTCTAAAATAATAAAAAAATTATGTTTTACGATTGTCTAGTAGTAAGCAGATTCAGGTAAAAGTGTACCAAATTTCACCTCTACATGGCTTTTAGAACATTATAATTTACATCAGTCACTCAGACACTCTCAAACGGCTGTACTCTAAATGTCAGATATGACAGATCTCCTTAATTTAACCAAGCAAAAAGCCAATTGAAATACTGTGTACACATCAGTGGAAGTTAAATCTTCGCCTGGAATGAGCATTGCCTATATCAGCTTGTCCAACCATCATAACCTGCTGCAGCCATATGAAATATTTTTTTTTGCATTTCGGTTCTTAACCAATAAAAGTTGAAAAGCAATCCTGCATGCCCAAATCACCCCTTTCAGAAAGTGTATTCTGTAATAAATGCCTGTCACAGAATATGCTTGAGGTCGTGGGTTCCATCGTGAGCCTGGCGCATGTATATTTAAAGTTTGCATGTCTCTCTCCCCGTGGACGAGTAGATTTGTCTTCTGGTCCTGCGTGCTTTCCCTCCGCATTTAGAAACACGTGTTCAGAGTATTTGGCTGCTATACATTTCCACGTGATAAGCCACTTCGTTGTGCTATCATTTGTGGCCAGGTCACTTCTGAAAACGAGCTATATAGCTCAGTGGGCTTTACCTGATGAAGTAAATGAAAAAATTGTTTTATTCAGTTTAACAGCACTCATGTCATTGTTCTTAAGAAACACGACGTTTAATACTGAGTTTCTATACTGGCGCAGACATTGAATTTCCTAACTATTCTAATTTTATGCTCAGAGCTTCGCTTTCAACATTGTTCACCAATGCAAAATGGCGTTTATCATCACAAGGATGCATTGCCGTTAGAGGTGTGCATTGACGTAAACATCATCGTCATTAGCTGATAAAGACTGCCATTGTCAAATATTCCACAGCGGATGCTTTCTCCATATATGTTCACCTATTTATATCTCCAATCAGATCTTGGGGAAATCACTTCAAACGTCACCATGAATAGCCTTATCGCCATGCGTATCTTCTTGGCTGACTTGTGTGTTTATATGGCGTTACATTCTATCGGCGGTTTATGTTTTATATTCGTGAAGGCCTTGGTTTGTGATAATTTGGATGACTGCATGAGTTTCCTCTGAACCAAAGCAATGCTTCTTCATACTCTACAAAATCCAGGGATAATGGTATTCGATATTCTGTTCAGGCTATGGGGTAAATTAGTTAGAAAAGGTAAATTAGTTTTGAGTGTTCAAGGACCCTCTTGAGGAGCCTTTCAAAACCATCACTTTGCCCTATATTGCAGGGATCACAAAAATTATCTCCAAAATCTTGAATAAACACGAGATCCAGGTCCGATTCAATACATTACATAAAATCCATGATCTAGTTCCGTCTGTAAAATATGTGATTCCGGACATACAGTACTCTGGCGTCTACAAACTAAGTTGCCTCTGTGGTAGTAGTTACATTAGAGAAACCAAACGACATGTCTCGGAATGCATTCGTGAACACAAAGCAGACTTAAAACACGGTAGGACCAACACCTCGGCCGTGGCAGATCACTGTTATAATTCAGTAGGCTCACATGACATTGACTTCTCCAAGACAGAGGTTCTTTGCAAGCCATCTGGCTACCATGAGAGATTCGTTCATGAGGCTATCCACATATACATATACAAACACAGAGACAATTTCAACCGAGAAGATGGATTCTGGCTTAGCAATCATTGGAAGGACTTGATAAACCATTTCGGGTCTTCATTGATTGTTTACGCTTACGGTGGCTTTCAGACCACATCCATTATTTTCGTCTCCCCCCTCCTCTTTTCCGAACATAGATGGACTCATATTCTTGGTTCTTTCAGCAAAAATATATTTTTATTATTTTATTGTTTCCCTTCTACGTGACTTTACCGAAAGAACCAAGAATATGAATCCCTGCAGTCACGAAAGCTTTAAATCAAAAATAGATGGACTCGTCCATCTGAATAACTGCCAAATCGCTCTCTGTGGTGCTTACGATATAAAAAAAACGCCACTTTTTTCAAATTTTCTTGCTGTGGTTTTCACACCTGATGATGATTGCTTGTGTTGCAGTCGAAACGTCGTGAGAATTTTATTGTTTTATATGTTTATTATTTTATTGCTTCCCTTCTACGTGACTTTACCGAAATAACCAAGAATATGAATCCCTGCAGTCACGAAAGCTTTAAATCAAAATTTAGTTTTGAGTGGTGTATTTTTCTATATAGCCTCAAAGTGCACTTAGCCTGGCACAAGTGCCATGGTGATATAATTGCAACTTAGTGGCAGATTGTAGCTGCAGATGTTGTGTGTTACTATTATCATTCACAGTACATACGGGAACATGCTGACATTCATCATCATCATCATACCTCGTGTTGTGCTATAGTAAGCCAATAAATCATTACTGCATATGAGCATAAAATTAATTCTAAAACTATAGATTATATTAAATACAATAAATTCGCGTACATAGCTATTATAGCCGTGACATACACCGCTAATTGCAGCTTTTCCATCTCTCCGATGCATCTTCGGCTTGCACCGCATGTTCGGCACGATGTCTGACGTTTCATTCCACTTGCCCCCCACGTAATAGGTAGAGCTATTACGTGGGGGGGGGGGTGTAGTGGCACAGTGGTTTGCACACTCACCACGAACCCGGCAACCTCATGTGGATTATCAGCCACGGCTGACATCAGCGGCGAGGGGAGTAATATCTTAACTGGTCCTGGGCCCCCATTATCACCAAAATGGCAACTGACCATTGTGGTGAAGTACAGTTGATCAGGCCCCGTGTGTTGCTGGGAGGTTCTTCAGGTAGGTGCCGTGGTGGCGAGATGTTAACTACCTCACCTGGTATGCAGGAGGTCGTGGGTTCGATCCCAATCCTGACGGCTGTATATTTAGAGTTTGCGGTGTCTCTCTCCTCGTGGTCGCGTGGAATTTCTCCGAGTCCTCCGGTTGCTCCCTCCGCATTTTAGAATCAACGTCACGCGCTTAGACTATTTGCCTGCTATAAATTGTCCACGCGACGACGAGCCACTTCCTGAGAACTATCATTTGCGATAGTTCACACGAAGTTGCTCAAGAGGTAGAAGCAGCGAAACGTCGGACGTCGTGCCAACAAGCGCGCGCGAGAGCCCCTCGAGCCGCCGCCACAGTGGCGCGCGGCGGCGGCGGCCTTCGTTGTCTAAGCGGGGAGAGGGCCTTGCGTCCGCCCGTCGCGCAGGGAAGGCGTTTTTCACGCGGAACCCGGCCGAGCTGCAGGGCACCTTCGTGTCGACGTCGCTGCTCAAGAGCGGCCGCGGCTTCGGCTTCACGATCATCGGCGGGGACGAGCCCGACGAGTTCCTGCAGGTCAAGAGCCTCGTGCCGGACGGACCAGCGGCCGTCGACAGCAAGATCGAGACCGGTATGATGAGTTGACTTGTTTTTGTAACTTTTTGTTGTTGTTGTTGTTGTTTGTGGCTTTTTGTTTTTTTTGGTGCCAAGTTCCTCATTTGTTTTCTTTACTTTTGATGTTGCTTGGTAATAGGGTTTTTCATTTGCTTGGCACGTGTGTGTGTGTGTCTTGGGTTTCTTTTGCGCCGGGCATAGCCAACCACGGTACATGGGATTTAGTCCTCATATATAATTACTGTAAAGCGTTTTGGGATGCTGTTGGCATGAATGACGCTACTATATAAATTTAAATTATTATTACTACTACTAGGCGCATGTAGATTATTTTGCATGGAAGATTTTGTTAGATGCACTCCCCCCCTCCACCACCACCACATTTTTTCCCTTTACTCTTGTTCCTCTTCCCTTGCCTTCCTTCCCCTATCCCATATTTTAAATAAATAAAAAACTACGCTCCCGCTGCTCACAGTCCCTGCATGAGTGGGGCAGCGAGCCCCAACCTCATCCCCTTACCCGAACCCAGGAGCACCGAGTTCGGACTTTGATCATCCGCGGAATTTCTGTATCAACCCCCCTCTCAACCTTCCCTTATTGCGGTCCGTGCCCTTGCCAGGCTCTTGTCAAAAAAATAGAAACTGGTACGGAGCTGCGGCTTTGTTTGTGCGCGCGGAAGAGACGGGGGATGGTGGCAGCCAAGCCGGATCGCGCGTCCTTGCGTGTGCCCCCCCCCCCCCATATCCCCCCCCCCCCACTACCACCTGCCCTCCCTCTAATGGTGAAGGCAATCTTGTAGTTGATCCAGTAATGGATCGTGAGCCAGTGAAGTGATTTTCGCTTTCCTCACACCTCAACTAGTCTTAATATTGTTGTTGTTGTTGTTATTATTATTTTGGAAGTAACAGCGATGTTTGGTGGCACCAATGACAGTGGCCTTGATGACCTCGTAACCTTGGCTTCTAATCGCACGTTGTTATTATCTGCGCAGTGGATTGTATTTTTCCTTTTTTGGCCGATAGAGAGGACATTTAATCTGTCTGTCCCGCTTCCCTTTGTCCATCAGCCTTCCCAAATTTAACAAAAAATCTTAACAAAGCCAATAAAATAGCTCGCATGCTTGAATACGGATCCTAATAGCGACCCTAATAGGGATCCTAAAGAGTGATATCAAGACCTTTATCGAGCTCCTAAAGAAAAATTTAGGAAATAAAAATTACTTTTAGAATGATATTACAATGGACTAATTATTGTTTATTTTCATAGGCCGTCTGATAAGATTATACATAATTCAAAATTACACAATATTGACGGACAAAATATGGCCACGAGCGTTCAGATAAATACATTTATTAATGAAGCTCCCGTCGTCGGCGATGCATGCATTTGGCATCGTCGATCAATTATTTAGTGGCTTCTTATTAAATGTCGAGGGCGGCTCGCACTGGTGAAAAAAACGATTGGATGGCCGTGAGCACTTGCCTCTTTCCAGCTATTTACCTCTAACCTTTGACCTCGCAGCTTAACAAAAGGAAATCTAAATAAATCACACCGATAAATTAAATTTGAAGACGCCAAAAAGGCTACAGTAGCTACTGAGAGACGAGCATGGGGCCATGAGCCTCTGGTGGAAATTGCTAATTATTTTTTGGTGGTGGCCAGCCTCTTCAAAGGACAGCCAATGTTGCCTTTACACATAATTGATACTACATTTATCAACCCAAAAAGGGATGATGTTGCTGAGCCAGCCAGCGATGGGTCATGGTTCGCAGTCCAGCCGCCGCTGTAATAACCTGTAATAATGCAACGGGTGCCCGGGTGGCGAGATGTTAACTCCCTCGCCTGGTATGCATGACTTTGTAGGTTCAATTCCGACCCTGATGCCTGTATATTTGGAGTTTGCGTGTTGTCTCTCGCTGTGGTTGCGTGGATTTTTTTCCGGGTCGTCCGGTTTTTTCCCTCCACGTTTAGAATCAACGTGCACTTAAGAGTGTTCGGCTGCTATAAATTTCACGTGACAAGCCACTCTGTTGAGCTGTCATTTGTGACCGGGGCCGCTTCTGAAAAAAGAGCTGTATAGCTCAGTGGGCCTTACCTGGTGAAATAAAAAAAAATATTTCAGTTTTTTTTAGTAATAATATTAAGCTATTGAGCGCCGTCTGTTTCACAGTGGATGTCAAAGATCCCCTGATGTCGTTTGCAAGAGCAGGCCATCGTGTGCCGGCGTCACGGTTCCAAATTTAGCAAATTGTAAAAGCTAAGTGCAAATTACTCCATTGGGATTCTACGAAGCAGCAATCGCCCACCCCCTACTGGCAGTCCGATGGCTCAGGTCGGTCTCGCGATCCTGGCCTCTTGAGTTCTCGCCGAGGTTAAACAACATAAACGGAAACTTTCAACTCACATTCTTCAAGTTGTGAGTCAGGGAGTTTAACACGTGTGCTTTTGCGACCAATATTATTAATAATAAAGGTTGTTGGAACGGGTGGTGGAGGGTTACGACACATTTATACTTACGCGATCTAACTCAAAAACCCCCATTGTAAAAGTACAGGGACTCCTCTACTTACGGACGAGTCAGGTTCGTAAGTCCAACTTTACTCATGTCAATTCCAAACATGTTGTATGGCATATCCACTAAACACGGGGAATGGCTTAAAAGTTGTGTAATATCCTGTAGATATAGATGCCACTGGTTCTTCACGTTCTGCAGATGTAGATGCCACTGGTTCTTCACGCTCTGTAGATATAGATGCCACTGGTTCTTCACGTTCTGTAGATGTAGATGCCACTGTTTCTTCACATTCTGTAGATGTAGATGCCACTGGTTCTTCACGTTCTACAGATGTAGATGCCACTGGTTCTTCATGTTCTGCAGATGTATATACCACTGGTTCTTCATGTTGTGCAGATGTAGATGCCACTGGTTCTTCACGTTCTACAGATGTAGATGCCACTGGTTCTTCACGTTCGACATATGTAGATGCCACTGGTTCTTCACGTTCTGTAGATCTAGATGCCACTGCTTCTTCATGTTCTGTAGATGTAGATGCCACTGGTTCTTCATGTTCTGCAGATGTAGATACCACTGGTTCTTCACGTTCTACAGATGTAGATGCCACTGGTTCTTCATGTTCTGCAGATGTATATGCCACTGGTTCTTCATGTTCTGCAGATCTAGATGCCACTGATTCTTCACGTTCTGCAGATGTAGATGCCACTAGTTCTTCATGTTCTGTAGATGCCACTGGTTTTACATGTTCTGTAGATGTAGATTCCACTGGTTCTTCATGTTCTGCAGATGTAGATGCCACTGGTTCTTCACGTTCTGCAGATGTAGATGCCACTGGTTCTTCACGTTCTGTAGATGTAGATGCCACTGGTTCTTCACGTTCTGCAGATGTAGATCCCACTAGTTCTTCACGTTCTACAGATGTAGATACCACTGGTTATTCACGATCTGCAGATGTAGATGCCACTGGTTCTTCACGTTCTGTAGATGTAGATGCCACTGGTTCTTCATGTTCTGTAGATGTAGATGCCACTGGTTCTTTATGTTCTGCAGATGTAAATGCCACTGGTTCTTCATGTTCTGTAGATGTAGATGCCACTGGTTCTTTATGTTCTGAAGATGTAGATGCCACTGGTTCTTCATATTCTGCAGATGTAGATGCCACTAGTTCTTCATGTTCTGCAGATGTAGATGCCACTGGTTCTTCATGTTCTGCAGATGTAGATGCCACCACTGTCATCTATTGCACAGCAGTTCAACTTACGACTCTGAATCTGCACAGGCAACTGGACATACGGGGGCAGGTTTGTTTGTATCTCTGAAAGTTTGAGAGTCAAATGTTCATTAGTAGCGGTGTCCCTGTAGCCTCGTGACGTTTATAAAAATGCATTTATGAAGTACATCTGCAGAAAAACATTGATATACGTCAAAATATATCGTATATGATGACATTGGTTATCATTATTGTTTCCGTTGTAAGTTTGTTTTTACTTTTCCCACTGCTATCGTTTCTTGTAGTCTCTTGACAGATTATTAATTTGTGCCCAGCCTAAAAAAACGTCCGACAATAGTTATACGATTGGATTCACACCATGTCATTGGAATATGGAATTACCACTTCTGGCTTGGTGGTGTGAACAGGAGATCTGCAATGCCTCATTTCTCATTTGAGCGAAAAATCACTTTAACGTCACGGCATTGAGACAGGAACAGTCATTAGTGTAAAGCGTCAGAGTTGATTCATGCCTTTTGACTTTACAATCGAAGATGGAAACAGTGTGTAGTACGTGTAATCAGGTGGAAGATGTTGCGAAGGGTTTTATGTACACGCATAATGGAGGAGGTTAGATTAGAGACATGGATATTCGAGTGCCAACCCAGAGTTTTGGCATCCAAGGGAAGGATCTTTAGGCCCAATAGTGGTCCACGAAGAGTATACAGTGAGGGAAAAAAAGTATTTGATCCCCTGCTGATTTTGTACGTTTGCCCACAGACAAAGAAATAATTAGTCTATAATTTTAATGGTAGGTTTATTTGAACAGTGAGAGACAGAATAACAACAAGAAAATCCAGAAAAACGCATGTCGAAAATGTTATAAATTGATTTGCATTTCAATGAGGGAAATAAGTATTTGACCCCTCTGCAAAACATGACTTAGCAATTGGTGGCAAAACCCGTGTTGGCAATCACAGAGGTCAGACGTTTCTTGTAGTTGGCCACCAGGTTTGCACACATCTCAGGAGGGATTTTGACCCACTCTTTGCAGATCTTCTCCAAGTCATATTCTTAGCTCTTTCGGTAAAGTCACGTTGAAGGGAAACAATAAAATAATTAAATGTATATAAAACAATAAAATTCTCACGACGTTTCGACCATAACACAAACGGTCATCATCAGGTGTGTGATGACCGTTTGTGTTATGGTCGAAACATCGTGAGAATTTTATTGTTTTATATATATTTTATTATTTTATTGTTTCCCTTCAACGTGACTTTACCAAAAG